GTTAAATTTGCAACCCGCACCCCCACAAACCTCAACCAGAAAGTTTCAAACCTACAGAAATTTTTTCGAAAATGATCAGGGGCCCATGAAACGTCGAAAAACGAAGTTTAATTGATTTTAATTTCATTCGTGTTTTTGCTCCTAGCTTCGCCACCACTAGGTACTTCTCAAGTACATGTCGTATAAGTTCCAAAAAATGTAATATCTCAATTTTAAAATTTTTTGCGATTACAATACCTAGGTACCTCTTCGCCGATAGGCATGGTAGTAAAAATACTAATGTGTATCAGCGAGAAGGTCAAGCGGTGTGGGCTATTGGATAAAAGTAAAAAGTAGCTGAATCTATAGATAAGACCACATCACACAACAGTTATCTGTCCCTTACGGGAAAAATAAAAAAAGTCAAGTTTCACTGGACTACACCCCTTCAAAGCAAAGATAGAGTAATTAACCAAAGCAATTACTGTGTTCGCATTCATTAATTTTCCAGATACCCCAAGGCGTACTTAGATAAAAGAAAGATGTTACAGCAATTCTCTTGCCTAGAGTGAAGGCGGCCGGTCGGAATTCTCTTAAATTAAGATTCTGGTATATATTCAGACGAATCGATATAACTTTACATGTATAACTCTAAAATACTGTCCGGCGTTGGATCACCTGCAGCTCCATTGTAAATATGCCCACCTGCTGGGCTTAAGTTTATACACTGGAAAGCAAATTCATCTGACGGCGTGAGTTCAATGTGTGCAAGAGAGGCACCTAAGCTCATAATCGGGTTGTCTAGCAACGCTGACGTGGCAATCTGCTGTGTTGCCAATATGTGACAATAGTTCCTTGACTTAAGTTGCATATTGAAAATATGTCTTAGTTTATTCTTTACGCCCAAATAATCGTGTTATTTTGAGCGTACACAGTCTTGAAATGTGAATTGTGTCGAATCTATTCAGGATTGATTCATGATCGGTCTTAACGGCACTCTATTTTAGGTCGAAATGAACGGTCAGGATCGCCATAAATTCTGCAACATTGCATCATCGGTTCGTTTGATAACACCGCATCTTGTACATTCCATTAGCGAATTTAGTCACTACCCATCTAGCGGTCGTAGGGCAGTGTCGTTCTGCTACAAAATGGCCTTTACCTGCGCACATTCAGACAGTGATAGTTTGGATTGCGTGATGGTATTTGTTACATTTTGCGACAGCGAGCGGAACTCATGATGTGTTGATTTTGTCACCATCGGTGGAAATCAACGATAATTCTAAAATAAATTAAAATACTGAAATACAAAATTGTTGATTGCACGACCTTCTGCGTCACCGCTGCTAGGCAATGTGGTGATGACCTTGATTCTTAAGCCAGCTTCTATCTCTTTCTAACGTGTGTTGATGCACACTTCTCGCGCTTCTCTCTCACACACATTGTACTCAAGCCGTCAAACAAATTTGGTATTTCTTGAATGTCATTGCAGTTACGTAAGTATTTTTAAGAGCTCTTTTATAGGTTATAGGATGATAAGCCCTATTTGTATTAGAGAAATGATATTTTTGAGCCCTTGGTTGATCTTAGCAAATAAGTGACAACAACAAACTTGTGATCTACGTGCGAAGCTCTATTTCAGTGGTCGCCAGCCCGTCGATCGCGAGCTACTGGTAGCTCGCAAAGCGACTCTGGTGGCTCACAACATATTTTGAAAAGGTGTAAAAATCATAGAAGCTTCCGTAAATTTTGTCAATTCTTATAATAAACACAAGCAACGGCCACACTGCGGTGAGCGATCTGTTCGAGAAAGATCTTGATTAGTTTGAACGGAGAACAGCATTCCTTGACAGAAGTTAAAGGTAAAAATGTATGCTTGTTATGTAATACTTCTGTTTCCGTTGCTAAAAAAGGAAATATCGAGAGGCACTGTAAAACTGTACATTCGAATTTTGAAATATCATCCCCATTACGTTCTGCAACCAAAACGGAAAAGCTGAAACGATAAAAAAATCGGTTAATTAGCAAGCAACCTTATGAAGACGGGAAAATGATATAACAGGCGTTTTTAGAACCTGCAGATTCATTATTTGCCAACTTTCGACATACAAGCGAGATAGTGTCTGCTATAAAATCTTTGCAACTTTCCGCTAATACAGCGACGAGACGAGTAGAAGTAATAAGCAATGATGTAACGTAGTCTTATAGTTAAGAAATAACTTCGATAACTGTGCTTATTTTTCACTGCAGCTGGATGAATCCACAGATCTTGTTGACACCTTTCAGATGGCCATGTTCGTCAGGATGGTATTTAGTGATTTTACGATTAAAGATCCTTTGAAGTTTATTCCACTAAAAGGGCAGACCACTAGACACTTCTTTGCCTCTTTTGAAAATATAATTTCTTCTGAGAGAACTCCAATATCCAAAATGGTACGCTTGACAACGGATGACGCTCCAGCTATGGTGGGTCGTGATAAGGGTCTCGTGGGGTTATGTCGTAAAGATGAAAGTTTTCCGCAATTTCTCTGTTACCACTGCATTATCCATCAGCAAGCATTATGTGGACATTTTCTGAAACTAAACAACGTTATGAAATTGATAGTAAAAATGATGAACAACATTAGAGTTCAAGCGTCACAAAGATTATTCAAAAAAATGGCCAATAAAATTAACTGTCAATACGGGAAACTACTTCTTGACCCTGAAGTTCGATGGTTAAGTAGGGGATGACGGCTAAAACGTTTTAATGATATCATATCTGCCATAGTTCAATTTTTTAAACAACGTGATGGACCGAGTCCGGAACTGGAAAATTCAATCTCGTTTTGAGATTTTTGTTTTCTTGTGAATATTACAGAAAAATTAAATAAACTTAATTTACAGCTTCAGGGAAGAGACTAAAGACTAGCAGGAATGATTTCTGATATAAAATCGGTTATCAAAAAGCTTGAGTTTTGGGAACAAAACTTAATCTATGGCGATACCAGGTATGTTCCTGTTCTTTCAGAAAAAATATCTCGAAATCCATTAGAACCATATGACAGAAAATATCATTTAGAAATAGTTTCTGAGTTGAAGGATAACTTCAAAAATCGTTTCAAGGATTTCAACGAAATTGCTATAGTGGCGCAATTTGTAGTTTCACCCTTCATGGAAATTGATATTCAACAGTTTGAAACTTCTGTTACGCAGAATTTTAGCGAAGACATCGCTGCGACAGAAATAGAAGTAATTGCGTTTCAAAATGATTTAGGCCCGTATCGTCAGTCGTCCCTACAATTGTAGGGCGCGTTTATGGCCTCCTTGATTGTCATACTCCTTTCTCTCCTTCAAAAATTTCTAGATTACACTTGTCCCGTGTCAGCGTCAGCGCTCTCCTATTGTGAAGATATGTTTTCTTTTTAAATTGTAGGAAATTTCAGGCTGATAAAACATGATATAACTCAAAAGCAAGCACAATTTGATGCAAATAGATGTTTATGACATAACCTCAAAATAGAGTTCTGACACGTAGAAGTAGAAAACTATGACAATCTAGGAGGCCATAAAGGCTCCCTACAATTGTATGGACGACTGACGATACGGGCCTAAGCTCTAAAATCATTAGTCTCAAATACAAAATGTATCTGGCCTTCAGTAATTAAAGATAAATATTCAGTTTGAGGTCGTGTCGCCTTGAAAGTGAAAGCGTTATTTAGTTCAACCTATTTGTGTGAATCTTCTTTTTCAAATATGAAGTTTATTGAAAACAGATACCGTAATGGACTTACAGATGAACATTTGGATAATTGTATTCGAATGACGGTATCAAATTATACTCCAAACATTAAAAAAAAATTTCAGTGAATCTGAGTTTCAGGCTTCTCATTGATCACGCATTTTTTATCTGGACACGTTTTTCTTTAAAATAGTGCTTTGCTTTTTTTAATTTTTAGTTACCTTTATTAATTTTTCAAACACTACGATTGTTGGGAATGGATGAAGTTATGTAGCATGTATTAGTTATTAGCTTATTTAAATTTATTAGTATATATTAGTATTGGTAAAATAAACACATGCATGTCGCATACAACTATGTATAATTTCATTTAAGTTGGCTAACATTGCTTACGACTCGGCAGCTCACTGTTTATTCCAAAATTCCAAAAACACACTGAAACGTTTGGCGACCACTGCTCTTTATTTATGCAACTAATAGGGAACGCAGTTATGGAATTTTTCTATCCAAATAGCTAATTATCTCGTATCAGAGACTTTCTGTAATCTCACTACCACCCACGCATATACCTAACGTGGAAAGTAAAGGGCAACGACAAACGCGGTTCTGCGAAAAAATTGGAGCTCTGAAGAATTATAGAAATTCTTAATTAGTCGCAAAACGTATGACGTATTCATTAAAGCCGACTCGTTACGTAGCTTCTACCCAAGGTAAAATTGCTTGATGTCCAAGGATATATACAATCTCACCACTACCCACGCGTATAAGGCCAGCCATACTCATTAGAATTAGGGTTTTCCTGAACAGTTGAACTGTACAGGTAAACAGGATCATGTATGTAGGTGTTCTGAAAAATAAGAATTTTTATTATTTCCAATTTTTAGTTGTGAGCATATCAGTGCAATTTAACTGACAACATTCAACCTGATTGTTTGTAATAGAACCAGTACAGTTCTCAGCCAGCCACCCCAAAGAAGCGGTACCGCAGATAGGATTGAAAGAATCGATTTCGATCATCTAGTAAAAATCGGTTCCAGTGGTTTCGATCCCCATTCTGATTATTTCGATTATGATTCCAGTGGTTTCGGTTCCGACTCATGAAACCGCGTCCGACAGCTGCGATGACAATACTAAAAACTGGGTCATACCGGATGTTTCAAATTCGACCCTCACCATTGGAATATCGGAATCTGTAAGAGATACGAAGCATCGCCCTGTATAGGGCACTGATAGCAGCTGTCCCGTAATTTCGATCCGGAAAATTTTTTAGACGAAAACCGAGATAACCGAGGTATTTACTATGGAAACTGACCCAGGGGGGTCAGGAAACGGCGCTTCCACCATGGCAATGGAGATGGAGTCGAAGGAGCAGACCATAGAGGAGTTGAGAGCCGAATTGGAGATGGTTCGACAGGAGCTGTCAAAAAAGGACGATGATAAGAAGACCATTGAAAGATTGATGATGATCAACGAAGCCCAGCAGCGGACAATTACCGACCTAACAGTTAAATTAACCTCCTACTGACAACCCAGGTACCTTCCCATCTAAATATTACGCATTCTTCCCAAACACTTCCCAAAAATCACAGTAAAGACAAAGCTGTCAATCTTAAGAGACCGTTAAATAATTCAAGCGATCTTTCCACAGACGAAGATACACTCCCTGACGGTTTTACCAAGGTTAAGCCCCGTAAAACGCGACGAAACAAGACCGACACTACAGGCTTTCCTCCTCTCACTCCACCAAAATCGCAGTCTGAAACGTCTCATTCAACTGCAAGCGACTCGAATAAACAGCCTGTGCCTAATCTATCGGTTACTTCCACGCCTTCGACATCTCAGGTACCAGAAGACACGACTGCACAGCCCCCACGCAAGGTACGTGTTACCCCCATCGTTCTTCGCGATGCTTCGAGATGGCGAGGCGTAAATCACAAGTTTATTTCTTTGGGCATCAAATTCGAACGCGCGATGCCGTCGATGCAGGAATCAGGATATTTCCCAAGTCCGAGGATGATTACCGCAGGATTATTCGTCTCTTCAGGGAGGAAGAGGTGCCCCATCACACTTTCCCTCTACCCTCGGAGAGGAACATTCATGCTGTAATCAGAGGAGTACATGCGACACTTTCGGAAATTGAGATCAAGGAAGAGTTGCAACAGAGGGGATATTCCCCCCTGCACATAATTCGCCTGAAACGCGGTGGCGGCGTGCCCATGCCTTTGGTGGTAGTCATACTGCCCAAGATAGAAAAATCTCAGCAGCTGTTCAACGAACACGAGCTGCTAGGTTTGGCTATCCGAGTCGAAGTTCAAAAGAACTCAAGACTCATCGGGCAGTGTCACCGCTGCCAAAAATATGAGCATGCGCAATCTTACTGCACTGTACCACCTAAATGTCTAAAATGTGCTTATGACCACATGACCCACTTATGCCCTCAAACAGAACAAGAGGAACGAAAGTGCGCGAGCTGTGGAGGGGGGCATCCAGCGAATAGCCGAACTTGCAGATTTGCCCCTAAGAAAAATCTGCAAGTGATAGCGCAAAGGCGCAATGTAAGTTACGCGGATGCAGCTAGGGATGCAACCCGGGCTGCCCCCTCTGTGGGATCTTCTGCGAACACGCAAAATATGGACCTGGCAACCGCGCTAAGGTCCTTACAGCAGATCATAGGTCCTCTGATTAGCGCAACACAGGCTTTGCAGGCGATCTTTCCTGCAAATGGCTAGGTACAAAATTCTTTTTTGGAATTGTTTGGGTCTAAGGGACATTCCCAAAAGACGGGAATTTCATCAAGCTCTTGTGGACGAAAGTATAGATGTGGCCTTGCTGCAGGAAACATTACTTAATCCGGGAGATCGTATAGCTTTCCCGAATTACGATGTTATCCGGGCTGATAGATTGACTGGACGGGGTGGCGGCTTGGCAGTGCTAGTGAAACGCGGTATTGACTACCACAGAAGCACAAACGCTGACATGCAGAGCATCGAAGCGGCTTCCGTGGTGGGCAATATGACGGGAGGTGTGCCGTTAAAAATCACATCGGTATATGTCAGGTGTGGTAACAGGCTGCAAGAGGCGGATCTGGAAGTCCTTTTAGATTGCTCGGGTCCACTTATTGTGGCAGGGGACTTCAACTGCAAACATCGAGCACGGCATTCCAGGTTGAATTCCACCAGTGGGATCCGACTGTACAACCATGTGATACGAAATGGCTACCTATACATAGTACTGAGGAGCTGACGCACCACCCATTTAATCACCTTCAGGCACCTGATGTTCTTGATTTGGCATTATCCAAAAACTGTAGCTACAGTATCACTTCTCGAATCATGTATGACATCTCAAGCGATCATCTTCCCGTCGTTTTGGAAGTGGCTAATGAGCAGATCTTGGGGGATGAAATCCCTCCAAGGAAACGCATTGATTGGGAGCTATACAAGTCGCTCCTCAAAGAGTTCCCCAATATACCGATCATAGATGATGAGAACGGTATAGATGCGGTTCAAGCAGAGTGGACAAGTTTTGTTCAGCAAACTCTGCAGCGTGCAGCTGTACTTCCCGTGCAGCGACACGGCAGACCTTTTCTGCCAGCAGACATTCGTCAGAAAATTTCTGATAAAAGAGCTGCAATTAAGCAAGCGAAAAGGTCTTGTCATCCTGATGACATTCGCAGAGCGACGAATCTTATTCACGAAGTAAGAAATGCTCTTCATGAATTCCGCAATGAGCAATGGAACGACTTTCTGGCGGGGATGCTTGACTCAAGCATTCCTCTCTGGAAGGTGGCGAAGTCGCTCAAAAACGGAAAGCGTGAACAAATACCACACATTCACGGTCCTGGAGGCATTGTCTTCAGGACAGAGAAGAAGGTTGAGGTTTTCGCCGATGCCATGGAAAGACAGTTCTCTCCCAACTATGATCTTGATAATGACCTCGACGAGGAGCAACACATCGTAAGATCTGTCAGGAGATATTTTAGGGCCAACGGCGTCAGTGACAGTCGCTCATTCGTTGGTGATTTTTCTTCATCAGAAGATTCTTCTTCAGAAGCTTCTTCAACCGAGGATTTGCTTAGCACATCAGCGGTATCTCCTGAGATCCCGCATTGCACACCAGCAGAGATTCAAGGTCATATTAAAGACCTTAAAGTACGTAAAGCACCTGGGGAGGATCAAATCACTAATAAGGCGCTGAAGCTGCTTTCGTGGAAGTCCTTATCTCGTGGCAATAGTCAATGCCATGCTAAGGATCCAGTACTTCCCATCCGCGTGGAAGACCGCTGAAGTTATAATGATTCCAAAGAAGGTGGGTTCGATATTTCCCCAGGATTATCGTCCCATTAGCCTACTTTCAGCTGCGTCTAAGCTCGCTGAAAAGGTGATTCTACGTCACCTTGAGAATTTCTCGTCAGATCACCATGTGATTCCTGATGTGCAATTCGGTTTTCGGTCTGAACATAGTACGGAGCTACAGGCGGTTAGGCTGGTGGAACGTGTAACCAGAGGATTCACCCTTAACGAAAGTACTGGCATCTTGCTTTTGGATGTCTCAAAAGCATTTGACAAGGTGTGGCACGCGGGCCTCTAGTATAAACTAATCCAAAAGGGCTTCCCTTTTTGGCTTCTAAAACTACTGAAATCCTTCCTTGAAGGTAGGAAATTTCGGATCAAAATTGACAACGTCCTGTTGACAACACGGCTGATGACAGCCGGCGTCCCTCAGGGTTCGGTCCTTGGACCTATCGTTTACTCACTGTACATCCATGACGTCCCTTGTCCCAGCAACTGTGAAGTCTATCTCTATGCTGACGATACTGCATTGGTGGCTCAGTCGTGGTCTGGTGACCTATTCCATGACAGGCTGCAAAGTGCGGTGGAGGAAGTATTAGATTGGGCGGATCGGTGGCTAATTAAAATAAACCATTCGAAAACGCAGGCAATCTACTGTACAAAAATACGTCGCGGCGTTCCGTCTGAAGTTTCAATGAATGGACTTCGTATACCATGGGAATCCTCCGCTAAGTATCTCGGTGTCATTCTGGACAAAGGGATGACTTGGCGGAACCATATGGAAGCGCTAAAAACTAAATTCCAAATTACGTTTCGGCAGCTTTACCCATTATTATGTAAACGGTCAAAATTAAGTTTGATTAACAAGATTCGACTCTATAAGGTGGTCATAAGACCAGCAATGACTTACGCATGTGCGGCTTGGTGTTTTATTGCTAAAACACACATGCGAAATCTGCAGGTTCTGCAAAGCAGGACGTTGCGCACTATTGCTGATGCCCCATGGTATGTCTCTAACGAAACTCTACATAGAGACCTCGATGTCCCTTACCTAAAGGACTACATTAAGCAACAGGCGCAGCGGCGCTATAGCCTAGCGGAATCGCACAGCAACCCTCTGTTGCGTGTGTCAGTGGACTATACAGTCGAGCAAGTTCGCAAGCACAAAAGGCCGCGGCTCGCACTGTAATCAAAATTAACTCGTGAACTTAGAACAACCAAAATTGGAGCATTTTTACACAACCATTAGAAAAAACAAAAAAAATCAAATATTTTTAGACCATTCAAAATCTGTGAAGTGATTTTAACAATGCCTAAATGCTGCCTATCCTAAAAGATTCTCTTCTTCCCCTTTGCTCTCGTTCTTCCTTCTCTCCTTTCCTTCCCCTTTTTTCCTTAAAATTGTCTGGTTTCTGGGTTACCAGACCTGACAGACTTACAAACTGACACTGTGACTCAAGAGCAAAGGTCCCACACACCGCTCTGACAACCAACGATGACTTGATGAGATACGAAGTCGCTTTAATTAAGGCAATTCTTCCAGAGATAGACGGAAAAAACCGAATTATCTCAAAATCGCTTTAATTATTTCTTGATTTTATTTGTAGTTGGATTTCAAAAGGCATATAGGGTGGCCAAACACGTGACGTCATAAAAAAAAAATTAGATTCCCCACATCGAGAGGAACCCAAATCACCCCCATATATATGGTCCGATTTTGTTTAGTTTAGGAGTTATGATTTTTTTTCGGATTTTTCGAGAATTTTTGAGTTCTGTGTTTATTTTTACCATAACTTCGTTAATAATTGTGATAAATGCCTGCTTTTTTCACGATTATGTAGCTAAGACCTAAGGCTTAACTATCATATAATCATTCAAGTCATGTAACTAATACTGCTTTTTAATTTTTTTCAAAATCTTCGAACATAACAAAAAAGTAAAAAAGTGCAACAACTTTGAACGTTTATAAAAAATTGAAAAAACATGTTCTTACTATTCGTAAGTATCTTAAAAACTTCCTTACGGTATCAGCTATTTACCGTAAAAATTTCATCAACCTAGCTTTACTACATGCTACCGTAATTGTGGCTCAAATAGAACCGAACCCAAAATTGGATAACCCTCTGCTCAATAGAAATTGTTAGTTTCGGAAAAAAAAATTGCAAAAACCACAAAAACACGTTTGATTTTTACTGAACAGCAGATTATTATTCATTTATGTTATTTACAAGAGGTTTTCAAAATGTCTGCCTCTAACAGAAATGCACAGTGTACACCTAGGTATGAAATTTTGTTTTAAATCTCTAAATGCTTGTGTGTTGTTTTTCAACACATGTGTCGCTTCTTGAATTTTGTTCCTCAATGAATTTTCATTTGCACATTCTTGGGCGAATGTTATGTCTTTAAAATATCCCCAAACAAAAAAATCAATGGGGTTGAGGTCAGGGGAGCGTGGAGGTCATCGTATCGGTCCGTTTCGTCCGATCCATCTGTCTGGGAACCTTTCGTTTAAGTAGTTTCGCACGATTGTTGCGTTGTGGCAGCAGATTATTATTCATTTATGTTATTTACAAGAGGTTTTCAAAATGTCTGCCTCTAACAGAAATGCACAGTGTACACCTAGGTATGAAATTTTGTTTTAAATCTCTAAATGCTTGTGTGTTGTTTTTCAACACATGTGTCGCTTCTTGAATTTTGTTCCTCAATGAATTTTCATTTGCACATTCTTGGGCGAATGTTATGTCTTTAAAATATCCCCAAACAAAAAAATCAATGGGGTTGAGGTCAGGGGAGCGTGGAGGTCATCGTATCGGTCCGTTTCGTCCGATCCATCTGTCTGGGAACCTTTCGTTTAAGTAGTTTCGCACGATTGTTGCGTTGTGGCATGGTGCACCATCATTCCAGGATGAGGAAGCAATGAAGGATATCCTACAGCTGATCCGGATCGCAGAGAAGTAGTACTTGAAGAAATTAGCCGGAATCTCTCAACGAGTACGAGATCTATGGCACAAAACCTTAGAATACCACAAACATCGATACAAAATATTCTTCATGAAGAAGGTTATCATGCCTATCATGTTCAAAGAGTTCAAGCGTTGATGCCTTCAGATTACCAGTTAAGAGTGGATTTCTGCGAGACAATGCTGCGAAGACAACGAGAGGATCCCGATTTTTTTGATAAAATTTTATGGACTGACGAGTCACGTTTTGAAAGAACAGGGATATTCAATATCCATAATTTACATACTTGGGCTGTTGAAAACCCCCACCAGTCAAGGCCGTCGACATTTCAACACCGTTTTAGTGTGAACATGTGGTCAGGAATATTCAATATGGAATTTATCGGTCCATTTGAACTGCCGTCAAGGTTGGATTCGGTAGCCTACAAAAGCTTCCTTGAAAATAGCCTACCATTATTGCTGGAAGATTCAAGCCTG